GCATAGAAGACATTTCGAGCGGTTGTCACGTTTCCAGTCGAAGAGGGTGGGGAAAGACGAAGATAAAAGTAAAAATAAAATATCGAGAAATTTCCAACGACTCTGGAAGAGATGGAAAAGTAGAGCTGGAAAAAGGGCCCACTAACGACTTGAGTGGTGTGAGTGTGAAGTAGTCTGGAGGCTTTTTTTTTTCTGCTTCCGCCTTGGCTCTCCGCCCGAACTTCGGTTGCTCGCGCTCCGCATCAACACTCCTCTTCCCACCAGGCCCCCTCATCGTCCGTGGAACCCAATTGTTTTAACCACTCGAGTCTATACATTCACCCGAACTCCCTTCCAGCTCTCGCTAGTCCTGGATCCGATCAATCGCTGCTGTCGCCCCGAACAGCCGATTAAGCACCCCCGACTCGTAGACATCTGATCTGCGGCTGTCAACCTCACGATCTCCGCACGAACAAGTTCTCGATCCTAATGGCCACACCATCGACATCCTCCGATGCCTCGTCATCAAATACCGCTCCCAAGAAGTTCAACTTGCGGAACCCACTTCCTCTCTCAGCTCCTCAGGAGCAAGAAGTGAAAGCGCTCTACTACAAGCGTGTACGAGGCCACTGCGCCCCCGAGATCAAGGGTATGTGGCATCACTTCTCCTGCTTTCAATTACAATTTCCGAGGCCCTTGTTTGGCATAAATTCCACGAAACCCGAACTCGGCCGAGTCGTGCCACGTGCCTTCCTGCCCTTCAGCCAGGCCACCGTTTGAATGAACAATTCGTTAACAAACTTTCTGCAGCTTTTGCTGAATGCGCCGTCAATCGTACCGTTACTGCCACTTGGGTATGCCGTCAACAACGGCTAACCATGAACTCCTGCATGTTAGCCCACGCCACCCGAGAGGAGGAGGATCGCGCACGCGAGGAGTGGTTCTCAACGTATCCTGACCGACGACGTGTCCGAGATGAAGAATTAGCACGTGTCGAGAAGCGCCGCGAGGAGGTGATTCGGATGATGCGGGAAGATGAGCGGAAACAAAAAGAAGCCAAGGAGAGGTGATGCTGCTTGGGCAATGTCTTTTATTTTCATGGTTCATTTCTCTTCCTCATAGCCGGACACATCTCTGGTGAGTGTATATCTTCATTATCGGTTTCGGCGTCTGGGCAGATCTTCGCTGCTTGCATTGCTTCTCCTATCAATTCAAAGCATCCTTGTGGGTATGAAACATCAAGCTTGGAAAACCGAAAGGGGTCTCCCGAATATCGGTCTACCGCAATGCGGGCGCTGGCGAGATGTCATGTTTGGTAGGAGATGTTCCAGCTTCTCGAAACTTACTAGAGCCAGATCATCTCCGTCTCACAAGCAGCCAAGCGTGGATTTCGAGTCCCCGTGTTTTCTCTCTCCTCACGGCGTATAAATGGTGTATTTTAGGCGTTTCTACGGGCATGTGTTGCATGATCTTCCCAATTTTGGAGCGATGGGATGTCATTTTATTATGTACATTATACATAGGATCCATTTCTTGTTCTCATTCACTAGATCATTCGCCAGGATGTCTCTTTCTCCTTATTTTCTTCTTATCTGGCGCATCACTATTCCAATGACAACGTGACTTAAATAGCCATTGCGATTCGTATGGAATCAATGGTCCGACATATCCTCCCCCAACCCTGGACCCCGGTCTTCTGCCCAGGTCGAGATGGTTGTAAATTTGAAAGATGGGAAAAAATAAACTCCAAGCGCCAAAGAACACCGTCCACCCAAGATATAGTTGATGAAAGCCTGACATGGCCTGCAAAGGAAAAAAAGAGCGGTGGTTTAAGCATCATTCATCTTCTGGTCCTCATCTCCATCGCCAGCCTCTCCCATGGTAGTATCCTCGCCAAAGATGTCCTCCATCTTTCCATCGCCATCGTCCTCATCTCCTTCGTCGTCGTCTTCCCCCCCAGCAGCGGGCCCTGATCCAACTTGCTGCGACGCGTCGGGCATATCCTCTTCTCCCTCACTATCCCACTCGTCTTTCATATTCCACCCAGTGCCCGTAAGACAGAATCTCTCGGGCGGTAATCGCATACCTCCAACCAGCACGCTCTGGTTGGCGGCGGGAGGCGCACCGTTGGGGCCAGCCGCGGCAGGATCAAAGCCTCGGTTGACACCCGGAAGAGCAATACGATTTCTCTCCGAGGCAACCTCCATCAAGAACTCTTTCGGTAGACCCGTCTGGAACTGGTAATGCAAACGCGACGCAATACTCAGTCGTAGGGCTGGCAATGACACACCGCTCGTCTCCGTAGACGCAGCACCCTTTCCTGTAGCTCCAGTATCTCCCACGGCACCTGCATATCCTTCTGTGGCGAGATGCACTGCGTCTGTGAGCACATTGGAGGTGTATCGGTATGCGAAATCGAGGAGTTGGAGGGGGACGCGGTCTTGATATGCTGTTACGCCGAGCGAGGCGAGGAGCATGTGCACGAGTCGCACATCACGCGGACGTCGCGATTTACCGCTATCTTGAAGAGATGTGCCGGGGGTTTGGGGTAGCTGTGCTGTTGAGGTGGTGGGTGCTGTTGCGGGTACGGTACTAGATGCTTGAGCGGAGGTGGTCGCGGCGGGGGCAGATACGCCGTTAGCTGCTGAGGAGGATTCAGCTGGTGGTGTGATAGGTTGAGTGGCCGGCCCAGAGCCTTGGGTTTGACTGGGAGATGCCATCTTTGTGAGTGTTCGAATAGTGACGCCGCGGTGAGGGACAAGTCGCCAAGGGTCGGTGGTTGGTCGGGATGGTTGGATGCGATTCAGAATGAGCAGGTGGTAACTTGAGTATATCCAACTACCGATACTGCGGCATGCCTCCTGGGCTAGGGTGATTGGTAGCAGACGGCGTGAACCGGCGTTGATAGTCGGGACTGCTGGGAGAGATCGCGATGGGGTTTCGCTGATGCCGAAAAGACCTGGAAGGAGCTCCGATATTGCGCTAACCGCTTTAGGTAATCACTATAGGTTTATTGCGGGCAGCTGGGAAGAATTTCATTTTCATTTTAAACTCTTCTCTTGACGAAATAATTGAAATCAGATGGTGCCATTGTGACAATGGACATTTCAAAGGCTCTCCCTGATTAAAATTTCCTTATCATTCATCACGATCATATCACAAACTAGTACTCTCAGTTACAACTACTAACTAGTACTGAGTCAACGACAAGTATTACTTGAAAATATTGAGATAGACTTGGATTTTCAATGAATATGTGGTGAGAGTATGTGGGACACTACATCTTTTCTTCTGAATTTCCTTCGAAGGTTCACCCAGGGCAAAACATAGACGTTATACTTCTAAAGTACTGTACGAATTTCTTGCATAGCCTGAAATCCCGCGGCGGGCGGGCATTCCATGGGCGGGTCATGGACACCCACACAAAATGACTCTTCGTCGGAGGGACTAGCCTTCCTCCACAACCCCAGGCTCTTTAGAGACAAAGAGAACCATGGCGAACTCCAAGTAGGCTCTTAAATGCAGCAGTCGGTGTGATAATATTTACTGACCTGCCGCAGATACGAGTACGTCAAAGACTTCGAGCAGCCAGACGTCCTGCTCCCCAGTACATGGATTGTCGTGCGCATCGATGGCAAAGGGTTTCACAAGTAAGATACTCCTGTTTGAATATAATTTCCCATAAAATTTATCTTACGGAACTGATATCGATCTATAAAGGTTCTCAGACCACTATCAATTCACCAAGCCCAATGATCGCCGTGCCTTGGATCTGATGAATGCTGCTGCGGTCGAGGTCATGAAAGAGCTACCGGATCTATGCATCGCCTATGGAGTTAGCGACGAGTTCAGGTACCGTCCATTGCCAATTTCACCTTATATATTTGCTGACAAAAATCACAGCTTTGTCTTCCACCCCAACTGCCAACTCTTCGAGCGGCGGAGTGCGTAAGTTTATTCCAATTCTGCATATCGTTTTGCACATTAGTCAATGGGCCAATGTTGTTGATCGAACTATCTCTTTTCCAGAAAACTCGTGACAACTATTGTGTCAACATTTACGGGATACTACATTCACAAGTGGTCAGAGTACTTCCCCTCAACGCCTCTTCAGCCACCCTACCTGCCTTCATTCGACGGGCGGGCAGTCATATACCCATCAAATGGGATCTTGCGAGACTATATGAGCTGGAGACAGGTTGACTGTGAGTTCACCTCGAGTTTAACATTGGTATGTTAAGCGTACTAGTATTAAGCTGATTTTGTGTTACTAGGTCACATCAACAACCTCTACAACACAACATTCTGGATGATGGTTCTGAAGGGCGGTATGAGCAACACTGATGCTGAACAAGAACTGAAGGTATGCAGTATTCAACAATAGCGTTATCTCTTTTAAGATCTTCGACGAAGGACACCCGACTTACTTTACACAGGGAACTGTATCTGGCGATAAAAATGAAATCCTCTTCAAGCGGTTTGGAATCAACTACAACAATGAAGAGGATATCTATAAGAAAGGCAGCGTTCTTTACCGCCAGGTGCGAACATCCACTTCTTCAACTGGTCCAACATCACTAACAAATTGTTTCAGTTCGAACTTCAAGAACCCGAGTCAGCGCAGGAAGGAGAGGTGGACAACAGCGCTGTGCCAGAGGGAAAGCAATCGAGGTCACAGCAAGAGAGGCTCCGAAAACTGCGACGGAAAGCACAGGTCGTTGTCGACCACGTTGATATTATCAAGAACGATTTCTGGGAGAGACGACCATGGATCCTATCTGGCAAGCCGGGCAAGCTACCAGCTTAAAGTTGAGACTCGAAAAAAAGCAACGAGGTATGGAAATGACTTTTTGGTTGTATTCGTTATTATCACCAAACGAAATGGGTATCTTGATCGCGAGACGATGCGAGAATAAATGCACATGTAAGAGACTATGTATCCAACACTTCAAACAGCGTAGCACAAACTCCAATTCAATGTGCCGCTTTTGGTATCATTGTATCATCATCAGACTTGCAAATCAAGCTGTAGTTGACGACTTCTTTTCTCTCTTTTCTTTCTTGTCCTTCTTGTCCTTCTTCTCCTTTTTCGAGTCAGAATCCCGACCTTCTTTCTTGGACTCCTTTCGCTCCCGCTTTTCCTCTTTCTTTTGTGATTTTGAAGGCGCTTCGTCTGTTTCTGTGGTGTCTGCTGTAGATAGAGGTGTCGGATAATCTTCTTCGGGAGCCGATCGTTTGAGCTTCTTGGATTTCTTCAATTCCTTGCGAATCGCCCTCGCTTCCTTTTTGGCCTTGCGTCTAGCCCGACGCTCCTCTTTGCTCTCCTTCCGCTTCTCCGATCCAGATGTCTCGCTCGACTCTATCGTATCCCCATCAACCTTCCGTCGCTTGCGCTTTTCCTCTTTGCGCGCAGCTTTCTCTTCCTTTCTCGCGCGGCGGTCGGAGTCGTCCTCGTCAGACTCGCGCTTTCGCTTGGACTTCGACTTGGATTTTTCGTTTGGCTCCGCGATTTTGGCCTCGGTCGTTTTCTTTTCATTGATTGTTCCGGCTAGACCTGATCCCCGCACGAAGTGTCGATACAACTCGCTTGTCAAGGCGTTATTCGATCGCGCGGATGTGGCTTCATAACTGTCGTCGCCCACTCCTTTCAGGGCATCTTCGAATCCACGGAGCCACCACTGGTTTGTAGGGTCCTTGGTGGTCTTTTTTCCAACACCGTGATTGTTCTGCTTGCGCGCAACGAGAATCGGCCTCGTCAGGCCGAGGCCACCGTGAGGGCCAGGACGTTGGTTTGGGTTCAATGGGTTACCGGGGCCGGACCAGCCGTGCCGCATAAGATAGGCTTGAGCGTCCATTTTGCGGGAGGCCGGGGGAGAGGTGGCGAGGTGGGATTCTGGGCTGAGGGTATGCGGCGGAATCAAGTTGGAGGGAGCACGATTGCAGAATCTGCCGAGTTTCGAGTATAGGGGAGGTCGGGCGTTGAACTGTTGGAACTGGTATAAGTTCCAATAATTATTTCTGTACAGGTCGGGCTTTGCTTCAAGGGTTTGTCGTCCCTTGCGAGGAGTTTGGAGAAGAAAGTACCGGGTAAAGCGAGAAAAAAAATCCTAGGGTCCACCTGGGGCGCGGTTCCTGGCTGATAAGAATTTGTCGACGCCTGAAATTACAGGCAGGCAACATTGCTCTGCCCGATTTCCCCAGCTTTTCCCTTCCTACCCAGGCGAGTAGAGAAAGATAGTACATCTACAGCTAGCGGACGTTGTCTATTTAGTATAAAGGTTTTCCATCCCTACCTCAGTAGTATAGACTGCTTTGATCCCGAGATCGCGCTCTGTCAAGTTCAAGTACCTTAGGCAGCATGCTATTAGGTAGTACCTACTAGATGAATATATATTCCGGCCTCGCAGGGAGTAGTACTAGTATCACATCATGATACTACTAGTATGAAGAGAACTTGGAAGAAATATATACCTACCCAGATACCTATATTTACACCTGGGCACCTGCGGGTACGTTCTCGCCTTGTTTACTTCTACCTACCTACCTACCTAGGTAGGTAAGTACTAGGTATTTCATAGTTAATCTTTTCTAAGGTTATTTACTACTAGTACTATTATAGTAGTAGTCATATCATAGTTACATAGGTAGTCTACTACTATTAGGTGATTATCCTACTATGATTTCTAAACGTAGTATGGAGGAGCTACGAAAGTGGCCCTGTAGTAAAAATTCACATTTTCCCGGGAGGTACTAGTTAGTAGTAGTAGTAGTAGTAGTAGTAGTAGTAGTAGTAGTAGTAGTAGTAGTAGTAGTAGTAGTAGTAGTTAATAGGGGCTGTCGCTACTATGGAAAGCACAGAAAGCTTGGAATACTACCTAGGTACCTAGGTAGTAACTTGAAGAAAATAGCATAACTATTCTGAAGAGACATATTGTCATTTATTTTTAACAACCACCAACTCCCAATGCTACACAACAGCAGACAGCAGCACTCAGATGCGTCCACCCGCAACACACTAGTACGGCTTAAAGCGTCCTTGGTCCTTTTGTTTCTTGTCCTTCCGCGAAGTCTTCGCAGATCCAGCCTGAGACTGCGCATCTCCATCCTCGGTGGACTTCCAGGCCCGTACGTATCCATCCTCTCCACCAGTAAAGACGCACTGGCTCTGATAATGCATTCACAATCAATAACCCGCCCAACCAATCGAGCGACCGAAGAGAGAAAACTCACCTGCTCATCGAGATAAACAGCGCGCACAACTTCATCACCATGCGCACCAGGAAGACGCCAGGTGTTATCCTTATCAAACTGCCACGTTGGACTAGATACCAATGGGACCAGATCCAGGCGCTGATCACTGCAGACAAGCAAAAAAGAAAGAAAAAACGGTCAGCCATCTCCAGAAAGTTTAAAATGAATGGAGACACACGTGCGGGGCAGGGGAACAGCTTGCAGCTGTACACATACATCTTATTTCCGGCCGCCATATACGGGCCCTGGCTACCGATGCACAGTTGAGCAACGTACTCGCAAGCCAGAGGCTCCCGCACATCCCCAAACTGCACGGGCTCGGGCCCTTCCCCAGGCTCGTCTGGGTCGGTAGCCGGGTGCACAGAGAAGTCCTCGTCGTGGCTGAGAGCAAAGATGGTGCGATCGGAAAGGAAGCCGGCATGATGTATGGAGCCGTGGTTGATGACCTGCACCAGGGCTTCGTCCTCATCAGTTACCGTTGTATCGTAGATGTTTACGAGCCCATCCGTGCTGCCGGATAGTAAGATATTGCTGCGGCTCGGGTGATATTGGAGCTGTGTACCACCGGTCCCACGCAGGGTGCCGGTGTCAGATTAGCCTTTTGCATTCATTTATTGGGGACGAACGGATCCCGCCGGATGTTTGAGCGGGGGATGAACTCACCTCTGTGATATCATCGTTGTGGCTCTCTACGTATTGCAGACGAGGTGCTTGTGGCGATCTGATATCCCTGCGGACGAAGGTTAGCGAATTGATGATTGCCGAGGTCACACACGAGGGTCTGGATTGGTGTACAGCCCGATCAAATGACAGGAAAATATGATTGATTCAAGAGCCGACATACCAGAATGCGACAATTGCTTGCGATGAAACCAGTTCTGAACCGGCTACGATGGTGTTTGTCTCCGGGCTGCAAGCAAGCGAGAGGACAGCATTTTGTCTCGCTAGAGAAAACTTTAGTATTAGCCCAGCTGTATACAGTAGAGTCAAGCCAGTTTCACATGGAAAGCCCCGAGCTAGGATACCCTTGCATAATAGCGCAGAAATTCTCCGACGGCCGTTGAGCAGATCCCGGAAATGCAGCCTTCATCGAGGTACAGGGCATCCCAAGACGTCATGGCTTTTGAGGAGAATGAGACATAATTAGAGAGAAAAGGGGGGGAAACCTTACGCATTTCCATTTCCAATACCGTATTCCCGGCTCGGACATCCCATAGTTTGACTGTACCTTCCCGACCTCCAGTAGCTAGAAGCTGGGAATCCCCCGTAGGAAAGCTCCGCAGCGAGGTAACACCTCCATCGTGGGTTTTGTGTGAGACCACTGACACATGGTCAATATTGGCGGCATCGAAAACGCGTAAAGAATCATCGGATGAGATGGCAGCGAAGGAGCCTGGTGCTGACGCAGTGATGGAGTAGATGTAATTCTCCGCTGGCAGAGATAGCGTCGACGCGGCAATCGCTTTGAGAGTAGGCATTTCGAATGGCTTCTCAAAGTCCTCTAAAGTGGGCCTTTTCTTTTTAGTTCTTAATTATTTTCTCACTGTTTACCTGTCTCGTTTGCTTCTCCAACCACCAAAAAAAATGATAGCTCGGGGATGGAGGGGCGTGAGCACGGTTTAGCAGGGCTGAAACCGAATGTCACAACAGGCGGAGTTCGGCCGATCTGCAATGAGTTTAATGACGACGAGCGAAACAGTTGGACAGAGCGGACAAAGTATGAAGGATCGCCCAAGAGTGAACGGACTATACCCTGGAGGCCCTGATGAGGTCGGAGCCAAGAAAAAAAAATCCCTTTTGGCGGGACGTGGGGCTCCGGCCCGCCTACTACAAATGACCTGTATCTACGGAGTAGCCAGTAACTATGTAGCACTGTGTACTGGATATCTCTGATTGCAACTTCATGAAGCATAGTAATTGGCAAATCAACTGGATCACAGTTATTTCATTGCAGGTCCAGTACGGATTGAAAGCGGACCTTCGGGAACGTAGGGATTAGAGATCGGTTCCAGTGACAAGAACTGGGAGACATGCCGGGATTGGACCTTCAATATTAAAGTAAAATAAAATGGAATAAAATCAAATAATTTCCGAGAGTATGGAGTCAGTGGCCTACATCTCTCTTCTAGAAGATGGAAAGTCAAGTTCAGAGGCCGAACAAGACCGCTCATTCCAAACCTTAGGCAGGTGGAGCGAGGCGCAAACCTACTGTCCTCCGCGGAAGCCGTCGGCGTCATGCCATGGAAAATCCGAGACGAGGTCTGTGTTCAGTGGATGCAAGAAGGAGAGGGGGTGATCCACATCACATGGAGTATGTACACTCGTCAAATTTCTGGGTACTCGTACTCCATACACTTACATATGTTGCTGCCCAGTATATGTTGTCCTAGAAGCGCCGGATCACCTTCACAGTCGTCTAGGCTGCCATACCGGGGGGGGGGGGGGATGAGTGGGGACTGGAAGGGAGTCACCTCTGCTGAAACCGATCGACCTTCAGATGGGCAGTGCTAAGAATGTGTGTATAAGTACTTCTGATTGAAGAGAGTGGGCGATGTCGTTCAAGTTCAAGTTTTCGACAGTCATTCCAGGCGATTGGACCCGGTGCAGCTGTCCAGTAGAGGCGGACTGGGCCGTGGGAAGATCCATGGGTGCAGGGGGGGGGATAAAGTTGATACATTCGATGATTGCCCGATCGCAAGAACGCCGCACGGTCATTAGCGCAATGGGGGCGAGGCGGACTGGGGGGATGGGCGAGTCAGTTGGGCTGAGCAGCAGCTGGGTGGGCCTGAATACCCAGTGACCTGGTTAAGGGAACCTGGAAACTCTTGGGAAATGCTGACCAGCGAAGCGAACCGAGCACAACCACGGTGGTGTAAACCCGAAGCTCTGGGTAGCCCTGGACAGGGAGGGAACAGGGATCATTGATATTAGTAGGAGTACGAAGTAGTAGTACTAGTACTAGTAGGATTGGGATGAGGGAAATCTATGAATACCTAGGTATATAGTACTATCAACTGGGAATTATACATCAGCTATGGGATACCGAGTAGTTCAAGTTGTACTCTGTACTCTACATAGCGGGCATACCTACCTAGGTAGGTACTGATCATATTCTAATCTGCAATCATATGAAAAAAATAGTATTATCAGTATTATTAGAAGAGTAGTATATACCTGTAACTATGTATATCAGATCAGTGCAAATCAGACGGACCTCCCGCGTAAAGCAGTGGAGCCGTCGATCTTGAGACTAAATGACGCTAGGTCGGTATTGTAAAAGCCAGAATAGGCGAGATTATGTGAAATACTACTCCGTAGGAGTACTAGAAGTACTAAATAATCTAAGTACTAGACTACTAGAGAATAACGTACTTACTAGGGGGGTATTAGAGACGTATCAGACCGCTGCCCCCCCCTACGCTCCGATCGTCTGGGCCTGAGCTCGCTTCTTCTTGCTCTGCTGCCACTTTCTGAGATCTCTTCCCTTTCCTCTATATCCTCTACCCTCTACTAGTAGCCACATTATTGTTCTGCTTTGGAATCTCCATTCCCGGCTGTGTTATCCGCCCCCGCCAACCCAACTGTGGACTGAGTGGACTGAGTG